GAGGGACGGCGCAGGAGGGGAAGACCCTCTATGAAATGGATTGATTCGGTGACTGGGGTAATAGGGATGGGTGTGTCAGAGGCAAAGCAATTGGCACAGGATAGAGCAGGGTTTAGGGCTGTTGTGCATAGGGTCGCTATGAGTTGCAAACGACTCCGACGGCACATAACAACAACAACAACCCTAGTTTGTTAGAACCATTTTATAGAACACAAGAACCAAGGGGAAATGAAGCTGGGGGAGGGGGAGGGAATAATTTTGTGATGCTGTTAAAGTGATGATAAGAGATTTACAAGCAGCAAGAACAAAGTATTTTCCCCTTTCCTTTATTTCTATGAATTTAAGTCTTCAAGGAGAAGAGATTTGAACTACACAAAGTCCAGTAATGCAGTCTTGACTAAAATGTGAGTGTCCTACATGCTCCCGAGAAGCTCTGGAGGCATAGTCTGTACGCAGTCATGCTGCTGACATAAAGCAGGCTCCTTCCTGGTGGCTGGAATCCACCAGAGGCTCCACGGGGAAAGATGGGCTCTCCTCCTGTGGATTTCCTGCCTCTGAAAACCCGTTGGAAGCTCAGTTATGAGTTGGTTCTCTCTTCAAAGCCATCAGTGAGTGAATGAGTATGCATTTAATTTCAAAAGACATTTTATCAGGTCATGTCAAACTCTCTTGATTAATTTTCTCTTATCTCCTCTGTCATATGTACTTCATTTCTAATTTTAAGTTCTTTTAGCTGAAATTCTGTAAGGCTGGGATATTTTAATAGACATGAAGTTCAGATTCATAGAATTTTAATCCAATGTGAAAGAAGTACTTAAATAACCGTAGTTTTGATTATAACTCCTAGTAAGGTTACCCATCATGGACATTGTTTGGAGGTGTTTCCAGGCTGATTTGGGGTTTTGAAGAAGAAGTGGCATCCACTTCCTACGCCAGATGCCTCTGGAAACTCTATAAACTCCATAAACATAAAAGAATGACGTTAATTGTAGAACAGAGTTCATGTCTTTTGTTCATAGGGTCGCTATGTATTCGGCTTGATGATACTTAACCACTGGTAAGAAGACTAGTGTTGCTATATTTTGGAGGAACATTCTTGTACTTTGTACGTCACTGCTTGTCAATTTGCTGTACTCAGGTAATCTGAACCTGTGCCACTGGGATATCAAATACCATAGTGGTTTCCTAATGTAGACAGTATTTGGTGGAGCTCCCAGTTGTAGGACAGGATTGGAAGCAAGAGTGACATCCACTTTCTAAACCAAATGCCTATGAAAACTCTATGAACTTGGAGAAATTTATAGAAAGGCATTAGGTCTTTTGTTCATAGAGTTGTTATGAGTCATGCTTGACTTGATGGTAAACAACAACAACAAAGTTCTAGAACTCTATCTCATAGAATCCCTATACACAAATAATTTCATATGTACCAAAATGTCATTGTTGGGTGTTGTCAAGTCAAGCAACCCAATGAAGAACAGTGTGGAACCTTGCCTTCGCCTGTGTCATCCTCACAGATCCTTCCGTGCCCCAGCCCGTGGATACAGTCACGGCTATCCACCTTCCTCTCTGACAGATCTCCCACCTTTCCAAGCATGACTTCTTTCAAGAACTGGTCATTCTCAGAACATGAAACAATGTTTCAACCATCCTTGCCTCTAAGGAACACTCTGGTTGCAATTCCTTCAACACAGATTTGTTCTGTTGGCAGTCCCATTCAAAGGATCAATTCTTGTATTCATGGTCCAATTTTTTAGATGCAGATGAAGCTACTAAAAATACTGTGGGTTGGTTCAGGTACACCTTAATCTATAAACTGACATCTTTGTTCTTTAGCACTTTAAAAGAGGTTCTTGATAGCAGAATTTCCCAATG